GGAAATGAAAGATCATAGAACAGGGCTGATATTTAGCCCTCCCTTGGCAGGATAGTCAACAGGCATGAAAGATTGTTTGGAGGAAAAGAAATAACTTGGCATTATTTTTTCCGAGGGTTGAATGATGCTGAGGAAATGGCTTCACTCAGTTTCACTCCACTGACAAGAGACGGCTCTGTGCTGGGCATGGGCTCACAGACAGCCCTTCCTCTGGCCTCCTCTAGTGGGAGAGTTGGTCCTCCTCTACCCTAGGCTCCTTCTCTGAAGAAATTCAGGGGAAGAAGCAACATAAAGCGTCATTATCTGTTTCAGCACATTTGTACATTGGCATGTGTAAAAATTAAAACTATTTGGCTAGGCTAGGGAATACATATTATGGATAGCTTTCTGTAAAAATTCACTTTCATACTGCTAGTTTGTTTTTACAATTCTAAATGACTGGTTCCTTACCATTCAGCTCTAGCTAGATTATGCTCTGATAATGACTCCAAAGTCTCAAGGTCCTTTAGCAACAAAGATTTACTTCTTGCTCTGTTAGGTCTTTCCTGTATCTATATCTTCTTCATTCTGATACCCAGACTTAAGGGGCTGCCTCAACCTGGAATATGCTGGTCTTGCGGCAAAGGAAAGAAATGAGAGATGGTGGAACCAGATGACAGATCTCAACATTTTTGCAAGGAAGTTGCTTCCATTCATTTCACCACGTGTTACCCCCAAGTCAATGAACTTCAAGTCCAAGCAAGTCACATGGGCAAGCCTGATGTTAATGGGGGTATATAAACCTTTTACAGGAAGTATAGCAGATCGCTAAAAACCATACTGTGATCTAGCACAATTTCTTTATTCATCGTTTTTATAATATGATGGATGGGCACCCCTCTGAGGTTTCCTCTCTTGATTCAGTAAGAACTTTTTCATCTGAGTCCGGGTCAGTCTCTCGTTAAGAGGCCCCTGGCTTTAGCTGATCTAACCACTTTCTTTTCAGCTTCTGAAGGACAGAGCCTCAGTGGATTGGTCTCTGTGTTCTTGCCACCTGATGTCCCAGGAGTAGGGGACCTGTGCCAGCTCTCTGCTCAGTCCCGCTGGAAAATTACTGAATGTGTCATCTGACAGGTTGTCACTCCCAGGAGCCAAGCCCTCAGGACACATGCAAGGCTGTGGTGTCAGTTGGACTCCAAAAGATATTTTCTTCACATCCTGATTTTACTGATTTATGACAAAAATGTCCAACTGTGAAACTTACAGAAACTCCCAGGTTTAGTCCTCTCCAACTCTGGGCCAGAAACCTAGAGAAGCAGGCCTAATTGTACACATGCCCTAGTGCTTGCACAAGAATCTGCCAGGAGGGTCTTAAACGCAGAGACCTGCGCCCCACCCCAGATACTCTGATTCAGATGGTTTGGGACTGGGCCCGGGAATCTGCATTTGACAATCTCTGGAGGAAACTGCTGTGCTGAGGGAGTCTGCAATGTCCTGGTTCTAGAGGTCTCGGCTGCAGGCCTGGATGGGGGCCCACTGCAGAGCTGCTGTATAAGCCTGATTCTGCACTAAGTGCCTTTACCCTTTCCTTCTCTGCCTTCCACACTCTATACAATCTGGAAACCCATAGGCTTTTTTCTAGGTCATCTTTAAGAAATATATCATTTTTTAAATTATATATAATCTTAATTTTTAAAATTAAGATTTTTTTCCTTGTTGTAAAAGTAATGTCACTTACTCTGAATCTGTAAAATGTAAGTAAGCAAAAATAAAAAAATCCATAATACCACCCACCCCAAAGATATGCTGTGGTGTCACATCTTTTTCTCTGCTTATATGTTCATATATTTTTA